ACTGTATCTCTAGCTAAGACTAAGAGCTCTAAAACTCTAGCTTCATTAAACTTTTTTGTAGAACTATAAAGCTTAGTCCTCCCGTAAAGTTTTAACAGAGGTGAAACTGTGGGATTTGTGACTGCATTAGGCATACAGGGTTCATTTTAGAGGATAATAAATTTACACTGCTAAGATGGAAAAGCAAATGCTCCTTACCAGGGGCGTATCTGGCGCGAGGCAAACAAGGCGTTTGCCTGGAGCGGCAGATTCCCTGAGAGCGGCACTTGCTGTGGTTCTCTCCCCTTGATAAATTGTATTTATCAAGGGAAGAGAACCGGAGGCTATCGTAGCAGCGGGGATGAGGCCGGCCGGCGGGGACGAGGACGGCGCGTTGCGGCAGTGTCCATTCTGCTCCTTACTGCACAGAGGGGGATCTGTGACTAAACGATCCTGAGCTCTAACTTCAGCCCTTCTATGTTAGAAAGCTTATAGTTAGCTTTCCTAATCAGGCCCCTTAATGGGACCCCTAGCAGCCGTGTGGGCTACTATGGCTATTGTTCAGCCACTGCTGCACTGCCAACATGCCGCTTTGCCTGCCAGCCCCCACCCCCATATGACTGATTAAGGTGCCTTATTATAAGACCGGCCCTGGTTAGCAAATGCACAATCAAATGGCAATAAACTTACAAATACGAGTCAGTATGAAGAAATTCAACAAAATGTGCGATAAATAGGTAAGCTATATACAAACCATCAATGTACCTTTTCATTATCCCTATATAGGATGTCACAAGTTATTTATAATTGCCATTCTTGCATTAGGGTAAATATCTCCTTATTTATTATGTATTATAGAAATATTATTAATAATGTATTATAATATATATTTATACATATTTATTTATACACATTTCTAAAATGCCCGGAATGTCAACAACACCACATCATTTTTAATGTGATTAATACAACTTTGTTGATATGTAAGTACATAAAACATTAATAATAAGAAAAATGTGAACAAAACATAAATTATTGAATCTAGTTGTTTACGGAATGGAAACCATTTTTAGTTCGCAGCAAGAATATATATCAAGCTGCTATACAGGCCTCCCCATCGTTGTACATTTTTTATGTACTGCTTGATAAATCATACAATAAGAATTACATTGTACATCTTATTGTATGGTTTATCAAGCAGTTCAGAACAAATGTACAATACGTGGTTATATTAGTAAAATCTGTATTGCATTTACATGTATTAATTATGTAGAATGCATATGTTGAAAATATAATACACCTTGCAGCAAATGTGTAGCATGCAATGTAAATGCAATCTGTACTACTTGATAAATCATACAATAAGACTTTTAATTTAAATCTTATTGTATGATTTATCAAGTAGTACAGCACATGAATAAATTAGTAATATCTGTATTGCATTTACACTGCATGTCACTGAACACTTGCTGTAAGGTGTATTGCATTTTCAACATATGCATTCTACATACACTTCATTGCCAAAAGTATTGGGACGCCTGCCTCTACACGCACATGAACTTTAATTGCATCCCATTCTTAGTCCGTAGGGTTCAATATTGAGTTGGGCCACCCTTTGCAGCTACAACAGCTTCAACTCTCCTGGGAAGGCGTCCACAAGGTTTAGGAGTGTGTCTATGGGAATGTTTGACCATTCTTCCAGAAGCGCATTTGTGAGGTCAGGTACTGATGTTGGACGAGAAGGCCTGGCTCCCAGTCTCCGCTCTAATTCATCCCAAAGGTGTTCTATCGGGTTGCGGTCAGGACTCTGTGCAGGCCAGTCAAGTTCCTCCACCGAAAACTCGCTCATCCAGGTGTGTGGAATTTTTTTTTTAAAAAACTACTTGTCCAAGGGCTAAAGCGTGGCCCAATCTACTTGTCCCAATACAAAAAAATAGTTTTAATAAAAACTAGGGATGCCCCAATAGCGTTTTTTCGGTATCGAGTACGTGTACCGATATTTTGCTTTCGGTACTCGCTAATACCGATACCGGTGCTTCTGCTGGCATGGAGCCTGCTTCCCGGGTAATCAAAAAGCCGGACAGCGGGTAATGACATGACTTATTGCACAGGTGGCAACCTATCACGGTACCACACTTGAATTCACTGAGCTCCTGAAAGCAACCCAATCTTTCACAAATGTTTGTAGTAGCAGTTTGCATGCCTAGGTGCTTGATTTTATACACCTGTGGCCATGGCGGTGATTGGAATACCTGAATCCAATGATTTGGAGTGGTGTCCCAATACTTTTGGCAATATAGTATATAATATATAGATGTATTGGTTAGAAATGGCACAGGGTCGGTTCCTGGAGTGTTGAGGTGCATTGCCAGCCCATTAATTTTGAGTGGGAGGTCTAGCCCAACACACGTTAACAGGTGAAAACAGGTGTGTGTTAATGCAACATACCTCAGTGGAAAACTGTGAACTTAGCCTTGTTTTTGAATGATGACCACCAGGTGGCCCTAGGTGATGTTGACAGGTGGTATGTTTTAAACACTGTGGAAAGCTAGTATTTTAGGGTTAGTTCACACCATATGCAGTGCGTTCCGGTCCGATTGTGGCCGGTACGCACTGCATCGCATTGTGACCGGCTCACTTTTTTGCCGGGCTGGAGGCGGCGTGTCAGTACAAGTACATGTACCGATACTTTTGAGCTCCAAGACTAGACTAGAGAAAAAAATTAGGAAGCAGCTGTCATTTGTAAGGAGCACACGGAGCTCCTGGAAAATAGATGCCAAAAGTATTGGGACGCCTGCCTCTACATGCACATGAACTTTAATTGCATCCCATTCTTAGTCCGTAGGGTTCAATATTGAGTTGGCCCTCCCTTTGCAGCTACAACAGCTTCAACTCTCCTGGGAAGGCATCCACAAGGTTTAGGAGTGTGTCTATGGGAATGTTTGACCATTCTTCCAGAAGCGCATTTGTGAGGTCAGGTACTGATGTTGGACGAGAAGGCCTGGCTCCCAGTCTCCGCTCTAATTCATCCCAAAGGTGTTCTATCGGGTTGCGGTCAGGACTCTGTGCAGGCCAGTCAAGTTCCTCCACCCCAAACTCGCTCATCCAGGTGTGTGGAATTTTTTTTTTAAAAACTACTTGTCCAAGGGCTAAAGCGTGGCCCAATCTACTGGAGGCTGGAGGGGGCGTGTCAGGCCATAAAAGTGAATGGCACCATAGCCATGCCCTCCGGCCGCAATGTGATTGCCTGCACGAGATCGCAAGGCACATTGTGCCTACAGTCCGGTCCGATCAACATAGTGCTTGCAGCATTTTGATCGCACCGCGCCGGACCGGACTGCAGGCACAATGTGCCTTGCAATCCTGTGCGGGCGATCGCATTGCGGCCGGAGGGCGTGGCTACGTTGCCATTCACTTCAATGGCCCGCCACGCCCCCTCCAGCCCGGCAAAAAAGTGAGCCAACCACATTGAGATGCAGTGCGTTTCGGCCAGAATCGGACCGGAACGCACTGCATATGGTGAGAACTAACCCTAAAGATATGTAGAATAACAAATCATCTGCGATATTCTGGGGGAATTGTGTGGATATACTGTACCAATTACTCTAATAATGCACTGTATGTAACAGTATGTAGTATGTAATACTCTTGACCCATAGTAGAGTAGGCTCAGGTTTTACTTCACCATACCTCTTTAAGCCCCTCCCACTGTTACAGAAATCTGGCCCCCAACCACAATATGCTGCCGTGTGCATCACGCATCACTTCTCTGCTAATGGTGCCAAAGGCATTTTGCCTTTACTCCCGGAATGTTGGCCTTTTCTTACAAAAGTCTGTGGCCAATTGTTTAAATATGTGATTGTGTGGGTGTGGCTACAAAGAGAAGCGCGGTTCTGTGGATGTGGTTAAAAGGAGATGTTATCAATGGGGTATCTCCTTATTTGAAAATCTATTAACTTTACTTTTTAGAATAACCTTAAAGAAATGTGTAGACCCATACCTCTGGCAAAAGATAATCAACTGTGTTTTGTGTCATGCTTTTTACACATGCAGACATATAGGGATGTCATCTCATGTATTTTTTAAACAGATAAAGATAAAAGAGTATCATTATTTGCTATGGATAACACATCTACACTGCTTTAAAGGACATGTTTTCCTTTCTGACTGTGTTTCATGTTAAACCCATATATAGGTTGTAACATGAAACATGGTTCACAACCCTACATCCACTCTCCTTTACTTACCTAAATCGCAGGGTTCTTCTCCCTGCCGGCTTGTTTACGTGTTTGAATTCAGTGCGGCTGTGCACGGCTCCACCCACTTAGCCGCATCATCCATTCACAGATCCTTTGACCGCTTCTGGGAACTGAGAAACTACAAGTCCCATCAGCCATTTCAGCAGAGGAACTTATAGTTCGCAATGGAATGCAAGTACTGTGATTTCACCACACTTGTAGTCCACTGACACTTCCTCCCATCCATGTTACTGCACGTCTGTACCTTGGTAAGGACATGGACGAGAGGAAGAGTCTGCAGGAGCCAGAGCATTGATCCCGTGATCCACTGATCGCATTTGCAATGGTTTACTGGCTCCAATATAAACGAATAATAAATGCAATTTTTTAAAGATGTGTACATTTATTTTTATTTTTTTCCAAAGGTCCACTTTCCCTTTAATGACTGTGGTAAGGGCAATGCATAAAACAGACCACCAATGTGATGGGCTAAAAAAAAAACAACCCAACCATATCTTAAAATCAGTGTGATGATCAGGAGTCAGAATTTTTACAGGGTCAGTCTTTAAAAAGGCTGTTCTTTCCTGGAGTTTATAGACAGGTATTACCTCTCATCTACACTTGGGCTTGCCCCTACCCTATTCTTTCAGTTTATTGTGTGAAAAAACAAGGCATTCATGTTAAGGCCCACCCTCTCAGTGACACTGAAGTATGTATAAGAGAAAGATGTTGGGTCACTTGTTCACTATCACTCAAACAAGACACAAGAGAATGTTGCTTCTGGGCTTTGTGACGATGTTTGCTGCACTGGGGATTGCAGGTATGTAATAGTTTTACATATCTGGACTTATACACTGTTCAACACTACTGATCTAAAATTAGAGCCCATTTACACCAGGGCGACAGCGTTTCAGCGTGCCTTACGCACGTTTTTTCAGCTTTTTTTACAGGCGTTTTCTGTTCATGAGCAGTAGAGCGTTTTTAGGTGCATTTTCAACCAGTTTTACAGTTGTCCAATGAAATGCAGTCTCAGCTGCAAAACGCAGTAAAAAAAATGCGCACAAACGCAATGAGTCTATGGAGCAAATCGGGCTGATAAGTACCACCAAAGAAGCTCAGGGACTATTTTAATCACCAGGTATTTTTCTGCACGATTCAGCACGTTTGTGTGACCGGACCCCCATAGGAATACATGGGATTTTAGGTTGCATGCGTTTCAGCACGGGAAAAAAAACGTGCGACGAAACGCCCAGTGTGAGCAGGACCTAGAATATATTTATTAAATTGATCTGATTAAAATAGTAATTATATTTTTACCAATACATAATTGTTCTTTCTATAGATCAACAGAGCAGTGCGTTAATAGGATTGTTATAAGTGTAAACTAGAATATTTGCATTTTCATATATTTTTCATTTATTTTAAAAGTGAAAAGACATAAGTGATCAGCAGCTTCTAAAGAAAACATCATTTGGTTTTAAAGAATTAACTGTATTTTTCTTAAGAACTGTCAAAAGACGATTTCAAGTACTCAATACACCTAAAACATTAGTATGAAAAAAAATAATGACTAGATCTTTTGAGCACCAGGAAAATAGATATAATATAGTTACATAGTTACATAGCTAGTCAGGTTGAAAAAAGACACAAGTCCATCGAGTTCAATCTATAGAGATATGGAAAAAAAAGCTATGCCTACGATTACACACTGTTGATCCAGTGGAACGCAGTGGAAGGCAAAAAAAACCCCTATAAAGCATTGTTCAATTTGCTCCAACAGGGGAAAAATTCCTTCCTGATCCCATAAGGCAATCGGATATTCCCTGGATCCACAATCTCTGATGCCTAATATACTTATAAGAACTCAATATCCAGTAATATTTTGTGCATTTAGGAATACACACAGATTTTTTTTTTTAAACAATTAACTGAGTTAGCTAGAACTAGCTCCTGTGTGTCAGCCAGAGATGCAGATCACACTGATCCTCCACCATCCTCCACCTACCAGGATAATCCCCTGGTGCCCCACTGGACCCCAGGATGCAGCCCCCCTTCCTGCAAAACAGGTAAGCAGGAGAGGTGACAGTGTTTTAAATTGTTGTGGGGTGCCGTACCTTTCAAAGAGCAATTTGGTAACCAATCGCGCTTTCACTAGTATTCCTCACAGGCGGAGTGAGTTTGGTATCACTCCGCCTGTGACAGGAGGAAGCATCGGCTTATGCGGCTCTGCTCCCTCCGGTGCCGCCTTGCTTCCTCTAGCGCTGGCTTCGTTGGCAACGCTGATTCTCTCCTCCGGCTCTTCAAGTTCCCTGGGAAAGGTCACAACTAGGTCTTATTTTCGGGGTAGGTCTTATATTTTAGCAAATGCCCAAAAATAGTACTAGGTCTTATTATCGGGGTAGGTCTTATTTTCGGGGAAACAGAATATGTGTGTGATGTGTGTGTGTTTGTTTGATTATGTGTGTGTATGATTACGTGTGTGATATGTGTGCTTTAATGCACGTGTGTTGTGTGTTTGTTTCATTACGTGTGTTTAGTGTGTTTTGTGTGTATGTGTTTGATTACATGTGTGTGTGTTTGATTACATGTGTGATGTGTGCGTGTTTTAATGTGCGTGATGTGTGTTTGATTATGTGTGTGATGTGTGTGATTTAATGTGTGTATGATGTGTGTGTGTTTGATTACATGTGTGTGTGTTTGATTACCCATGTGATGTGTGTGTTTGATTACGTGTGTGTGTTTGATTACATGTGTGTGTGTTTGATTCCGCGTGTGATGTGTGTGTTTCATTACGCATGTGATGTGTGTGTTTGATTCCGCGTGTGATGTGTGTGTTTCATTACGCATGTGATGTGTGTGTTTGATTCCGCGTGTGATGTGTGTGTTTCATTACGCATGTGATGTGTGTGTTTCATTACATGTGTGGTGTGTGTGTGTTTGTTTGATTACGTGTGTAATGTGTGTTTTTGATTATGCGTGAGATGTGTGTGTTTTAATGCATGTGTAATGTATGTGTGTTTGATTACGTGTGTGACGTATGTGTGTGTGTGTGCTTTAATGCGTGTATGCTGTGTGTGTGTTTGATTACATGTGTGTTTGATTACATGTGTGTGTGTTTGATTACATGTGTGTGTTTGATTACAAGTGTGTGTGTTTGATTATGCGTGTAATGTGTGTGTTTGATTACGCCTATGATGTGTGTTTCATTACATGTGTGGTGTGTGTGTTTAATTAGATGTGTAATGTGTGTGTTTGATTATGTGTGTGATGTGTGTTTCATTACATGTGTGATGTGTGTGTTTTAATGCATGTGTAATGTGTCTGTGTTTGATGGTGTGTGTGTTTTATTGCGTGTGTGTGTTATCAGCGTGTGACATGTATGTGTTTATGAATGTATGATTATATGTGTGTGATTATATGTGTTTGTATCTGTGAGTGTATAAATGTTTAAATATGTGTGTCTCCCTATTTTGCGTAAGGCACTGATGCTGAATGTTTCTTGAACCCGAGCGGCCAAACTGCAATGCAATACCAAACTTATGTTCAGTGTTGGCACTTTGAGATAAATAAATTGATTTTGCGTTGCAGGTTTGGCAATCGGCTTTAAAAACGTTCGCCATCACTGATATAGACAAATCAATAAATAAATCTTTGGCGAATGTGAAACAAATGTGGACTAAAGCCATGGGTGTGTTTTTTATGGGAATATTCTGTACCCATTGCTTCATAAAAATGTAAATGTTACTGAAGCCAGCATTTAACATGAACAGAAAAAATCAAGAAGCTGACAAGTGATAAAGTGATTATGTAGACAGATAATAATAGAAAACATGCTTTATAATTCAGCTTTTCAAGCATGATGGAAAATTCACACACCAGACTTCAGTTGCAACTACCCCTATTGACTACCCAACTTTCACTAACCTTTTATTAAAAAAATTAGGGATGCACCGATACTTTTCGAGTACCAGTACTTGGCATTTTCATGAGAAAATGAATGGGTTGCAGGGGTTGCAGCTGGGACCTGGCTCTGGCGATCCACCACTGTCCTGAAATCATTAGTCTGTATTGTTTTAGAAAAAATGTCACATGACAATAAACAAAAATGTATCAGTACTCGTACTTGTAAGTACTCGGCAAGTACCAGTACTCGTACTCGCAAAACTGGTATCCGTGCATCCCTTTATTTATATTTATACAAATAAAATCGTACATTAAAACAGAGATGTACAAATCCCAGGAGCTCCGTGTGCTCCTTACAAATGACAGCTGCTTCCTAATTTTTTTCTCTAGTCTAGTCTTGGAGCTCAAAAGTATCGGTACATGTACTTGTACTTGTACCGAGTACTGTACTGGGTATATGTGCAACCCTAAAAAAAATGTCTATGCCTGCACCCGTATTTATTTTTTTATATGGCTACTAGCTGTGTCGGATGGGAGTAGTTCTGTGTTCAATAGAGGTACAAGCTAACATGTTGTAATTGAGCATAGGGTTGTGAGTACTCGTGACTTCGTACTGAACATGTCTTGAATGCTTAATGCTCTTTTGTGGCAAGTTCTACCAAAAGTTCACTTTAACACTTTAGGCTCAGAAATACTCATTGTAGAAGTATGCAGGTGACTTTGGTGTAGGTCACAGACCCATAAATACAAAATGTCAGAAACAGATCAGCCATTGGGGCTTTCTGTTAGGCCTCATTCACACGACTAACATCCCGCCCGTACAGATCCGTGCGGTGTGCACTGCCGTGTCAGGCTGCTCCCGGGAAGGACAAGTGCTGCGTGTGATTTGTACACAGCAGCCTGTTCTTCTCTATGGGGGTACACAGCCTTACGCCGCCGTACACTAACTCGAACGGCACGTCCGTGCAGGTGAGGGTGTCCCTGCTCGGACGCAGACAGGATCCATCCTGTCTGGCCTTAGAGAGTATGCAAGGCTCTTGCAGTATATTTTAAGCCCTTGTCTAAAGGATACGATAGATCCCTTTAATTCCTAAAACAGTCCAGATTCAGCCAAAGTTTTCTTCTATTAAAAGGTCAGACCAGCCTAAAATTATATTTTAGTTAATGTTGGAGCTTGAAAGACTGAGTGAGCCCCTGGCGTCTTATATATTTTGAATACTCCAAAAGTGAGATCTCCCTGCCGACACTTTTCCTATCCATCAGAGAGTTTTGGGTGCCCCCTCACCATCTCCTGTTGGTTTTCCCTAACAAAGAAAATCAAACAGGGAGAGCGGGAGCCCCTCATAATGACTTCAACTGGTGTGTCCACCTGGGAATGTGGTCTGATGTGACACTTTACGATCCTGTCACTGATGAGAACTAAGAACACTCACCTGCATGTATGTGTTGCTATATATATATATAT